GTGATTATGAGTGTAATTGCAGCTCAGGGGCCCGCGGGCCATGTAGCTCTGATGGTGCTAGAAGATGTTTTATGCACGGCAACAGAGAGGAAGAAAGCGAGAAAGACAGAAAGAGGGAGAGTGGGAGGGAGAGGCAAGCTGCCAGAATGGTTGCCATTTTTTTTTTTTTTTTACAGACTCTCTTTTTCTTTCGCTTTTTTCTTTTTCTCCTTTCTTTTCTCTGCCCCAAACATCCTCCTTCACCCCCTCTTTTCTCCTCCTCTCTTGCTTCTCTCCTGTCCTCCTCCCTTGGCAGGATTAGCTGGGTCTCATTAGAGGGGAAATGTAATAATGCTCCCACCAGGTGGAATCAGGCCCGCTCCATTATCAGCCAGGAGATGGATGGGCCGTGTAGGGCCGGCGGGGGCCATGCGCGCACGCAATTTAGATTCAATAAACTGGCAAAGCAAGACCCCCAATCTGATTTATCTCTTACATGCTGCCAATGCTTGCTACTACGATGCTGATTCCCTATTACCGCTCAGAGAAGGACTATTCATTGGATGTAAGGCACGGCAGTCAGAGAGGTTTGTCGGGCCCCCGGGGCGGCTACAAAACAGATACAGCAGAGGGTTAATACATTTAACCACAGATAAGCAATTAAATCTAAAGCTGAGGTGAGTTATAGAGTTATTAAGGAGGGATCGAGAGGGACAGACGATGAGGAAAAGGAGAGAGATGTTATTCAACACAGGAGTGTGGCAGCTTGGGCCTTAGGCCAGTTAGAGTGAGTATTAGAAGTGAGAAAGGCTATCAGTTCACAAGGTGAGCGAACAGAAGAGCAGTCTGCCCACACTGTTCAATAAACTCAACACAACACTAACATACAAGACAGCAGAGGTCAGCACAACTGTTGTCCTGTTCGCCTGTGTGTTTGTGCGAGTTTATGAGAGCGTTTGTACGCATGTGTCTCCGTGTCTCAATGTAAGTGGGTATGTGTTGGCATAATAGGCATATTCATATCTACCGTATACCTGACTGAGCATGCATGGCAGCACATTTAACTCCGTGTTTGTGCACGTGATGTTAGCGGTGGGTGTCATTCCGTCCAGCCGCCAATCAAAGTGAATCTGAATGTCAGCAGGAGAGGAGGCGTGATAAATCAGCTTCACACCCAACGACAAACAGAATATTAGAGGCAGCGTAGTGCCATTGGAAAAATGTCCCTTCCAATCAGCTGAGCACTTTACAGTGAAGCTCAGCAGCCAGGCCTCCAACCAACGCTGAATACCAGAGAGACAGATAAGACAATAAAGAAATAAATGAGAGACAGACAGGTTGGAAGACACACAGACAGACAAACAGACGTGTAGGCACAGCGATGAATAACAGCGCTGACAGGCAGAAAAGACAAGACAAAGAAACAGAAGAACACAATGGGGCTGGAGGACAGGTAGGTAGGCATACAGACACACAACAGGACTGACAAGCAAGACAGACAGAAACCTGCTGAGCCGACAGACTGACATCTAAATAGTCACGTAGAACAGTGTATTGTTGCAATATCAGTATTACATATGTATACAAGAGCCACAGTCCCTTGACTCATTTAGGCTGACAGCACAGTTGCATCCATGGATGATGAGTGCAAAGTCAGAACTGTATCCCATCCGAGGACATAAACAAATATTTGTGATGCTTTGGCTGCCCATTATTTGGGCATTATTTTACATTATTTGTAAAGCAAAACTTGATTTATGAAAGAAAACTTAATAAAGGTCCCAGGAGCTAATGACCAGATTATTGAACAACTGTAACAGTTATCTAAGACATAACTTGGGTGAAATGAAGTTATTAAAAAGACAATACAATGTATACAACAAAAAATAAAAGTACGCAAAGAGTGACAAAAACATTGTCCAACTTTGTTCATCTTAAATCAGCTCTACTGGGATGATGACCTGGGATGCCAGACAGTTCTGTCATGTGAAATGTACATTTTACATTCAGGAAATTCTGAGGTTATGGCTTCTAATGTGGGATACATCGCTGTACTATGTGTAAACAGAACAAGCCATACTGACAAAGAGACAGAGTGATACGATATTAAATGGGAGAGGCTTCCTGGCTTCCCCAAAGCTGTGATCACATAACATGTACCATTCAGTACAAGACAAATCAGAGTCGACAAAGCACAAAACTGAGGTTTACAGCAGCATTTGTAAATGTTACACTGAGATGGGGGGTGAAGCTTTCCCAGTTTCCTAAACAACTGGTATAATCAAATCTCTGGCCTTAGATGATAAACTAATCAGGCTTTATCTGACCTGAACAGGGCTATCTTAACATTCAGGTACCCACTACTTGTAGGCAAAAGAATATTTTCCTTCAGTTTCTTTCTGAATCTTCAGGTGAACGGAAACCAACTGTACTGTACCCCATCTGCCAATGCAGAACTCTGCAGCAGGCATTCACGTTAAATGGATCATAGAAAGAAGCAACAGCCAAAACAACCACTAGGTGGCACAGCATACAGACAACACATGTGAAACGGGTTCGGCCATGCCTTGCTTCTGTGTTCACATACAGGTGCCTGTGTGTTTGTTCAGGACCCTCCAGCTTATCTAGACCTTGCTGCTCCTGACATACTGTATCACAAATGTACC